TCTTCAGCAATCCCTCACACTAAGCATGCTTGTAGCGACAGTGGAGAGGAAAAACTCCCTTTGAACAGGAAGAAACCTCCAGCAGAACCAGGCCGAAGTCCAACTGGTTTTGATTGGAATGAAACGATGCCACCAGTTTGGAGATCTTTTGCTTATTTGCAAACATCCATTTACTAAATGTTTCTCCATTCCACATAGATCCATCTTTTTCCTTTTGACAGTGTTTGTTTTTCTTGCATACTGTCTTTGGTGAGCTTCAGCTGAAATATTCACTATAAATATATTTGACATTTGACACCAATTTAATGCTGCACATGTAGTAAGCTGGAAGCTCTGAGGGAGAGAAGCGAAGAGATGGAGAGGCATGTTGAGATGAATAGTGATGGAGTGTGGGAGGAGATGCTGAATTTGGGAGGATTTTTCTGAAGGCGGAAACCGTGCATGTGACCAGAGAGAACAAAGGGATGGAGAGGAGTGAGAGGAAAGATCGGTTGGTGAGATCAGGAAGGGAACATGAGTTAGTTGCTGCAGAAACGCCTGCAGGAAATCATTGTAGGTCGGATTACCTGTTGATTCTGCTTCTCATCCACTTCTCTCTCTTCTTCCTTCACGTATTTCGGCAGGAAGAAGCAGAACGGGAAGCGTCATTGGAAGGAATGATCCTGGACGCCTCATCGTGTCCTTGGAGCTGTGATTATAAGTGAGGGTCCAGAGATCCTGCCCAGTTTCATGCAGCCTGCAGGATGGAACAAACGGGGTCGCCATCCTCCGCCTACAACAGAAGATGATTTTTGTCTGACGCTATCCGTTGGCTTTTTATGATTTAAGAGAAGTGTTGGAACATTACAGCGTTTTCCTGATCCCAGGATGACGTCATGAGGCGCTGCAGGGAAGCCGGGGATTAGTCGACGTGTTGCAGAGCTGCTCCCTCTGCAGGATGAACCAGGAGCTGCGGACCCTGATACAGTTCCTCCACAGAGACGGACAGACAGCCGTCCGATACTGGAAGCTTCAGTCCTGGATGGAGATCAGTGAGAATCGCTGAGCAGTGGGAACATCGTGTCTGTGGGATCTGCTCGCTCTGCTGGGAACGCCAGGGCAGGGAATGCTGCTTCGCCCTGATGGACTTCCTGCCCGCAGCACTCAGGGAAGACACTCATCTTGATTTTTAAATCAGAACTTAAAGGGGAAAGGTCCTCTCCCCCCCACTCACCTCCGGTGGGGGGGAGGGTTGGGGAACTTCCTGTCTGAAGGTGTAGGCCTCAGGGCTGCAGGGTGTAGTTTAGTCAGTAGATTAGACCTTTCTTTCAGCTCATTTAGCTCCAGCGGGACCTAAGCGGACCATCAGTGAGCCTCCTTTAAATCCTGCGCCGGTGCGTTCGGTCTCAGCCCGCCGTCATGGATGCCAGCCAGGCTCCGGGTGCAGGCAGTCCGGAGAGCCCGAACCGCGCTGTGGAGTACCTGCTAGAGCTCAACAACATCATCGAGAGCCAGCAGAAGCTTCTGGAAACGCAGCGGCGGCGAATCGAGGAACTGGAGGTTCAACTGGACCGCCTCAGCCAGGAGAATAAAGACCTGCGTTTGGACCGGCAGCCTGTTGCTCCTCCTCCGCCCGCTCCTCCTCCCGAGCCTCCCCTCCCGCCTCCTCCCCCGCCTCCGCCTCCAGCTCACAGCACGGCATCCAAGAACCATCACCACCATAACAGCCAGGCTCCGCCTCAGCCCCCCGCCTCCATCACCCTCCACCACAGCCACCAGTCTCACCATCACCCCCACCAGCAGCACCACCACCACCACCATCACTCCTACAATAGCAGCGCC